CCTCCCACAAGAACAATCAAGGGTTTGTGGATCATCCAACTTGGCACTTCCCCACCTCCAAAGCGACTCACCAGTATTTGTGGTGGAATGTTATTAGCTAAACTCATCATCTCAGCTGCAGGAAGGGATTTTTTTCAAAAGAATTCCAACTCACCTCATCATAGTCAATGGATCTTGGAGCTTTATATCCCTGCAACCTGAACACAGTCACTGCCATTTACAACCCCCTCAGCCCAACCCTCATTTAAAGCCTTGTTTACTCCTACTCACCTCTACATACTCAACACTAAAGAACTAGTTCTGAGGTAGACTAATAAAAGTGAGAGATGAAATCATCCATCGAGTTTTCCAGTGTGTGACAATGAATTTAAGATAATAAGTACGAAGATTCATTAATAATTGTACCTTTTTTTTTATTGATGCAAACTTCTCTATAAAAGGTGAAGAGAAATGTTTTAGATCTTTTGGCATTTGATATAGAGACTTGAGTTAGTAGATTGTTTTCTACATATTTTTCCTCTTTCTCTATAGTCTCACATAGGGCCAGATATTTAGATATCTCATCCGTATCACATACGAACAAACTTGAATCTAGGGATGCAAAAGAGTCAAGTCGACTTGCGAGTCTACTTGAGCTAGACTCTATAACAAGCTCCCGAGCCAAGTTTATTAAATTTCGAGCCCAAACTCGAGCAGATTTACAAGTTCAATGGATAATCGAGCTAGAGTTCGATTGAGTTGATGCTCGACTTGTTAACTCGTCAAGTGGCTCGAGTGCGGAAGGCGGAACATCGAACGCATAAGCTAAAATCAGACGTAGAGATACCGAAGCGTAGACGCGAAAACAGAAAGCAGAAGGCGGAACCCGGAATCGAAAGCGGAAGTGTACGTCGACTCGTTCTTCTTAGGCCTCGCGAGCCCGCATCCATTGCCATGAGCGGCGCTCGAGCACGCCATATGAGCTCGAGTCGAGCTCGCGGTTTGGCCAATGAGCCGAGCTAGAGTTAAGAATGACTCACTCGAGTCGTTACACCCCGACTAATCTCCAACGATGGCCCAATATATATTATTGAAAATAATGATTGGGAAAAATATTGACATAATAGAATTTCTTCCTGATTTATCATCGCGTGCTCTCGTTAGCATATTTTATTTCCCTACTGTCTCTATGGCAATCTTGGAGAGAATCTTGGAAGGAGATGAAATAATTGACTATGCCCATTTTTCATTCTTATGGAGCTCATCTTTGACTTCCAATCAAAATATTTTGAATTGGAGATCTTCCCCTAATTACAATCCTTCAAAATCTTGAGATAGTTCAGACTAAAAAAATACAGTAATTCAATTTCTAATAGGAAATTTACTGCTACTCTCACTGATTACCTGGAATATCTCTCTCATCAAATCTCCTAGAACTTGTCTTGCTAAACAAACTCCTTAAGCTATTCTTGCTCTCCCGTCGCCGCTTCCCCGGCAGCTGCCCACCGGCGCTGACTGGCGGTGACGGCATCGGCTGATCCAAGCCGAGGTTGCAGGCTTCGAGCTGCTTGGCAATGGTGATGAGCTCATAAGAATCCCAAAGTGAACGGCTGAAATCCCATGAAGAGACTTCTCTCGCGGCGGCGGCAGCTGCCTCGAGTTTGAAGCGGGAGGGGCGGCGGATATGAGGGCAGGCTGCGCGGCGAGCGTCGAATTCGTTGGTGGGATTGGCGTCGCCGGCGTGGGCGTGCCAGGCCTGAGCGACTGCTTTGAGGAGCTCGAGATCTTGATTCTCGTCGACTGCATCTAATTTTCCCATATCTGTTTAGGAGATGATGAATTGGGTTTTCTGCGAAAGCAGAGCCACAAATGTTTGGGGGAGTTCTGAAAGAGCACGAATGAGTGGCAATAAAAAAAAAATATCACAATATTCTAATAAAAAATACTATGCAGTAATGTAATTGATTAATTTGCAGTAAGTAAGGTTATTGATGAAAATTTTAAAAATATTTATATGAAATATGCAAAATATAAGTTATAATATGACTCGAAGTTAGTTGCGACAAATGGTTGAGAGCTTTGTTCTCTTTCCTGTTGTGTATTCCTCTACACAATCTAATTTATGTTAATAGTAGTATAACATGATAATAACAAAATGCATTAATTTTATTGTTGTTGTGTCCTGGAGTATTCGCGGCGGTAGAGAAATGTAAAGTTTAATGTCTTAACGTTATACGAAAATTTGGCTCGCAATCAGATAAGAGAGAGGGTGTAGCATTTATGAGACACCAAGATTTTTACGTTGAAAACCCCTAAAAATGGGGAAAAACCACGAGGTCTATCACAGTTTGAATGAATCCACTAGTATTGCAGTTGATTACAAATGAGACCCTTCCTTGAGGAAAGGCCTTAGCTTGATGTACATCTTATAGAGTGCATTACAAAGAATCTATGTTGATGTGTTTGTTTGGTCGGAAGGACTGTAGTCAGTGAGCGACGTAAGCCTAAATGATTATTGTCGACGGGCCACGTAAGCCTGAAGGACTGTAGTCGGTGGGCGACGCAGGTCGGAAGGACTGTAGTTGGTGGGCAACATAAGTCAGAATGATCATAGTCGGCGCCTCGGCGGGCGACGGAGGTCGAAATGACTGTAGTCGGTGGGCGACATATGTCAGAAGGACTGTAGTCGGCGGGCAATGGAGGTCAGAAGGACTAGTCGGTGGGCGATGTAAGTCAAAAGGATCGTAATCAGCGGGTGACAGAGGTCGGAAGGACTGTAGTCGGTGGGCAATTTAAGTCAAAAGGACCATTGTTGCTGGGCGATGGAGGTTAGAATGACTGCTGTCGGTGGGCGACGTAAGTCAGAAGGACCATAGTCGGCGGGCGACGGAGTCGGAAGGATCGTTGTGAGACGACGGAGATCAGAAGGACGGCATCATGTAAAAATTCAACAATGGATAGAAATCCCACATTGGATAGATGTCCGACGAAAATCCGACAACAGGCAGAAGTCCGACGTTAGGTAGAAATCTGGCAATGAGCGGAGGTACGGTGTCGGGTAGAAGTCCGAATTCAGTTGGCAAATGGGGAAAACTCCAGCGTTACTTGAAAGCCGGGCGAAACTCCGGCAACACTTGAAAGTCGAGCGGAACTCCACTGTCACTTGAAAGTCGGGCAGAACTCCGATGACACTTGAAAGTATGACGGAACTCCGCCAATGGCCGAGGAGGAGTTTCTTCCCTCCTTTTCTTCTCTTCTCCTCCTCTTCCTTCTTCTCTTCTTCTGCTTGCTTTCTTGCTTGGGTCCCCTCTCAAGAGAAATGAGGGGTCTATTTATAGATTTTTTGGAGTGGCATGGCCGATAAATAGACGAGAGATTAGGGGTAAATGGGGAGTGGTCGGATGGATGGCCTATATTGAATCCCTTGATCGTGTACCGTTCGTCAGACATTTGAAGGTCTTAATGATGTCAGAATTCATCAATCTTGGGCTCGTTGGATTTGTCTCGTCTAGCCGCTCGATTCGACTATAAGCTTGTCGTGTTTTGGAATCGTTTGGTAACTAAAATTATGGTACGAGCTTTCCAGCAGCGCTTTGGGTCCTTGATTTGGACTTATTTGGGCTCGGATTGATTTGAATTTAGTGTTGTTGGGGGTTCGTATTTCTGAGACGCATTGTTTGATTATAAGTTTGCTAAAATCGGAGTTCAGATGATCCCGAATTTAATTTTTGAAGTTTCCAACTCGATTTTGCCTCGAGATTTGTTCCCGATCAAGATAATTTTTTGATGATATATCAATTGTAAATTAGAATGTGTTGGATCTAAGTAATAGTGTAAATGAGTCGAGCCGAGCTCAAGTTAAGCTTGTCAACCAAATCGCAAGTCCAAACTCGAGCTCGAGCTTGACTTGAGCTCGGCTCGTGGCAATGGATACTGGCTCGTACGACTTAAGAAGAGCAGGTTGACGTTTGCTTCCTATTAAGATTCCAAGTTTCGGGTTCTACCATTTGCTTATGCTTCCATGTTCGTGATTCTACCTTCCGCACTCAAGCCGCTCGAAGAGTCAATGAGCCAAGTATCGACTTAATCATACTCAAGCTTGATTACTCAACGAGCTCATTAATTTGCTCAAGCTTGAGCTTGTTATTGAGTTGAACTTGAAACCCTAGCTAACCAGATGTTAGTCAGGGATATGAATTTTTTTTAGGTAACAAACTTAATGTTAATTTGAATTCTTAGCTAGGCGAGGCAATGAATCACAAATACATTACATCAGATTTATTTGGCCATGAATTTAATAAATAAATAATCAATTAAAATAATCAAGTTGGAAACTTTTGAATTTAAAATCGGCATCATTTGAACTCCGATTTCAGCAGATTTATAGTCAAAATGAATGTCTCAAAAATACGAACCCAACGACACAAAATTTGACTCAATCTGAGACCAAATGAGTCCAAATCAAGGACCCAAAGCATTGTTAGAAGGTTCGAACCACAATTTGGATTACCAAATGATTTTCAAATATGATATGCTTATAGTCGAATCGAGCAGCTCGACGAGGCGAATCCAACAAGCCCAAGATCACAGAATTCCAACATTAGTAAGACCTTTAAATGTCTGACGAACAGTTCACGATCAAGGGATTCAGCATCGGCCGTCCATCCAAACCACACCTCATTTACCCTTGATCTTCCTTCTATTTATGTGTCATGCCAATCTAGGAAATCTATAAATAAACCCCTCCCCCCTCTTGAAAGTGGGCTCTGTTGACCTCATTTTTAGCCTGATTTGTTCTTTAGCATATTTGATCGATTCGATCGGGCCTCGTC